GGGGGGGGGGGGGGGGGGGGAGCTGCTGGCATTGAGCCCCAAGATCCACCGGTTCTGTTGTTACGAACCGAACCGATCGGTAGGTAAGTGTATGCTGGAGGTTGGCCTTTTCCCCATGGCACCTGCAAAGAGATGATCCGTTGCTACAATGAGGTGGTGGCGTTCAGCAGCTATTTGGCATCGGTTCCCCTGGCTGCTGGGGTAATGTGTGATTCCTTATTCCTCTTGGAATTTCGGGGTCATGTGTCATTCCTTGCTCCTCTTGGCAGTCCACGAAGCAAACATAAATCCCAGGCTGACATTCATTTGAAGGCCGACCAACCAAAGTACGCCACTCCCACGTTTTCTTGTGCATGTTTCTTGACATGTCTTTGGTGCCTGTCTGCACTGAAAAAAAAAACACACACACATATACACAAGGTTATTCACGGCGACATCAAGCCGGAGAACATCCTCCTGGACGAGTACCTCAAGGCTCGCCTGTCGGACTTCGGTATCTCCCGAGTGGGAGAGAGCGAGGCCAAGGTATCGCGGCCTAGGCCACCCGCCGGCGGCGGCGGCGGGCACGGGGGCAGGGGGGGTGGGCCTGCCCGGGACGACGATGCCGCGCTTCAGGGGACGTTCGGGTGAGGGGCGCACGAGAGAGGGAGACGGTTACGTTGTAAAGCGAGAGTCGTGGTACCAAGCTAGGGCAGGGGTTGTCGGATGTGCTGCGGCCCACCACAATGGGGGGTGTTTTTGATGTGCTTGAGGCCGGTGGTCTAATGGGGCTCACAGGACCCCATGCAAGCGGTGCATTTACACGCAAAGGAGTTGTACAACGAGAGTTATCATGGGTGCTTCGTGGGTTGCTCTACGACAGACACGGACGGTGGGAGTGGGAAAGAGAGACTTGAGGCGTAGGTTAACTTCTCCCAGGCACGTGTTGGTGTTCGTGAAAGAGACAACGCGGGCAGCAACAACCCGCATGATCGACGTGGTGGCCTACTGTGTGAATCGATCGCTTTTCGTGGATGGCTCATCAATAGTAGCACGAAGAAATTGCACCACAATAGTACGAGCGTGTCAACCAGCGTGTTTACACCAACGAACAATTTTGTTTCCGTTGCTGTTAATGTCAATAAACGCTTGGGAGTTGGGGGTAACGAACGACAACTCCCAACTGTTTTGTGTTGCTGTCGCTGTCAATGAACGCTTGGTACTTGGGGGCCAACAAACGATGTGATGACAACAAAACCATGATGATGATGATGATGATGATGATGTGATCAGATACATGGACCCTGTGTACCAGTCGACGGGCCGCTTGGACGAGCGATCGGATATCTTCAGCCTCGGGGTAGTGATGCTTGAGCTGCTCACTGGCGACCCGGTAAGCAATCAGTGGGACTTCCCCCCCCCCCCGCTACCGCGCAAGGGGGGGATACAGGGGTCGCAACTTTGCGAGGTGTGAACGGTGGATTAGTCAGCAGTGGGAAGGGAAAAAGGGAAGTTCTAGCAGGACACTACAAGAGACTTGGAGTGCCCTCGGAGAATGAAGCTTTTGACCAAG